GGTGTATTATTTCCATCCATATCCTCGGCATAAGATCTTTAAGTTAATGAGTGTTTAAACCCTGCTGAGTCCATAACCCTAAGTTGTCATCAACTTCAATCTACTGCAGTTCTTCGATCTTTAATTCGCTCTAATTCAATACAAAACCCGAAACACCCGTGGCTATAATATATGAAAAATAACTAAAAAAGATGATATGCTCTCTAAGGCCACAGAAGAAAGAAATACATGAAGCCGGGTGAAGAAAGCAGTGATCTTCATAGATTGTAATTATCGAGATCCAAGTAATTGATTCAACTGTTTATTTGTTCCGGCGAAATAGAAAGAGAAGTCACCTGCGCCCACCAGTACGATGACTTTAGAGGCGGTAGCTCCGGTCTGCATCGCCATGTCTGCGAGCTTACGCTTCTTCACGCCAAAAGGTTGTGTTTGAATGCAGTAACACCGGAATTGATAATACTTTACACTTTTTTTCTTTCTTTATTAAATTGAAAAGAATACCATTCTAAAGGATATTCCGTATTAAAAAGTAAATAAGAAGTACTCTTTTCTTTATTATTAAGAAAAAATCAAAACAAATAAATAAACTAAAAGATTTTAAAACAACATTATTTTGGCAATTTTTTCTTAATTTTTTGTTTTGATTTTAGTGATTTTATATAATTTTATCTTTGTCTGAAAATAAACCATAAAGTTGAAGTAAAGATAAAATTATATAAAAGTACGAAAATAAAAACAAAAAATAAACAAGAGCATTCCAAAATGAAAAAAATGTTTACACAAACGAAAATCTGGGCTTGGAAGTAAGATGTTAGCATATCAATGTGGATGTGCATGCGTGAGTACATGGGTTGAGATGAATCAAACCCAGTTCTTTCAAACTCATCTATCTCGTCACCCTCCTACCTTCCATCAATAAAAATACAATCTTCTTGAGATTGAATGTTAATAAAACACTTCATGTCTCTGATCGGGGCAGGATCGACACCATCATCTTCGCTATCGATGACGATGACCTCATCATCGCTATGGATTACAATAACCTCCTCCACTTAGTTGTCGTCAAAGATCAAATCTTCGACCTCACCCCAACCATCTTGCAATTCCATCTCCGGAATAATAGAATCCAAGCAATAGTCATGCGGATCCATTTGATGTGGGCGAAGATCTAGGATTCTAGGAGAAGAGGGAGAAAGAAAATAGATATGGGAAGGAGAAGAGGTGAGATAAGGAGAGTATAATGAATGCGGTTAGGAGGGATTGGCGAAAGAAGTAAGTTTTGGAATTGATGGTGTAAATTATCGACCGGTATATCATTTTAGCCCGGCAAAAACGATAAACTAGTCTAAAAAATACACCAAACTATAAACACGGGGATTTTTACGTGGAAACCCAAATCGGGAGAAAACCACAGGCCTTTTTTGGCGGTACCTTGCCAACGGGGGATTTTTATTGATATTGGGGGTGTGTACACGGTACAAGAATCGGGCTCGGAAGCCATTAATGGTGGAGCTACAAGCTCTTTAAGAAGAAAATATATAAAACTCTAGAGAGAGAAAGTATAATGGGCAGGGAAGAGAGTGAGTTTGGCCTCCCCTTCACATTGGGGGCACCCCTCCATTTATAGGAGGGGGGAGGAGCATCTTCGGGGAATATTCTCTTATTCCTCCATTTCATTAAACAGGTCCGGTTTGACTGTTCTTCGTAAATAATTGGGAAATGTGGGCCGAGCCACGTATTATTTCCCATCAATAGGAATTAATGAGAGAGGTAGTTTAGGAAGAGTGGGTATGAAAATGTATAACGGGAAGTTTATTTCCGGACGGAAAAAACGTAGAATGAGAAGTTCTTTTCCGGATAGAGGGAGTATATTTTAAAATTATTTTCCAAAATAAATCTATTAATATCAAATTTATATAAAAACTCAATATATGTTTTTCATAATATACAGTCAAATTAAAAAAAGTTTAGGAGTATGCTACATGTACCCCAAAATCTGTACATCAAATGTATGCACCAATATTTTAATGGTTCACACTGACACAAAGTGTTGGTGCGTTACCAAAAATTTACACTCGCACAAAGTATTGGTGCGTTACCAAAAATTTACACTCGGACAAAGTATTGGTGCATTACCAAAAATTTACACTCGCACAAAGTGTTGCTGCGTTACCAAAAAATTACACTTGCACAAAATGTTGGTGCATTAACAAAAATTAGCATTACACCAATACAAAATGCTGCTAAATCCTTACGATGTACTCCCTCCGTCCACCTAAGATGTTCTCATTTTGACTTTTTGTTGTTTTTAAGGAGAGTTGAAAAAAGGTGAAAATTTACCATAATACCCTTAATGAAAATGGTGGAGTGTATTAAATGAGGTGGGTGAGGGGTAATAAATAAAGTAAGTGGGGGTAGTTGTGCTATTTTAATTGTTAAAAAATGAAATGAGAAGATCTATTGTGGGCAGAGAAAAAAAGCTATTGGGAAGATCTATGGGGGACGGAGTACAAAATAGGATATAAATTCTTGGGGTACAAATTAATTTATCCAAAAGTTTAACCACTAAAATGAGAAAATTAATCTATACTCCTATACAAAAGCAAAAGATTTTGGAGTTAATAAAAAATGGTGTGTGGAAAAAAAAGAGGTTTCCCGCCCATGAAGGGCTAATGTTATTGATTGGGTTTAATGTATTCATTTATTGCATTTTAATTGCAAATCTGTGTTTTATGAGAAATGTTTGGTTCACAAACATAATAGTCACAAACATCACAAACTTATTATTTGTGAACTTCAATGAAAAAATTAAATGACCTAAAGTGATTTCAAAATAAAATTTTAAACCATAAATAGTAAGTTTGTGAAGTTTGTGAGTATTTTATTTGTGAACCTAACATTGCTCGTTTTTTATTATTTTTGTAATTGAATGGCAACCTTTGGTCTTCTAAATAATTATTCATGTCTTTTGCACTACTCAATGGTGTGGTTTCACACATGGAAGTAACGGCCCTAATTATTGTCTCACAATTAACAATTCTTTTAATTGCAATAATAATGCATTGGGTTATGGTGTCACACGACATTTTAACTTAACTCCATTTAATTGAAGAATACATTTTGATCTTACACACGGCATTTTAACTTAACTCCATATAATTGAAGAATGCATTTTGATCTTGATGGGAAAACTTTTGGAATACCAATCTTTTTTTAAATAGGATACGTATTTAAGATTTTAAAATATTCAAAATCTAGAATTTTCTTTGAGCATTTTTCAATATAAATACATTCCCTCTATCTAGATGTTATCCTTATTTTTTGCTTTTACATTCCAAAAAGGTGGTAGAGATGTTTTCCGTTGTACTAAATGTTAACCACAAACGGACGGATTGGATTTTGAGGTTGAGCGAGGGCAATTCGTGTGTATGATGTGCCCGCAACAGAGAAGCATGGAGAGACAATGAATGTCGTATTTCATTATAAAGAGGTTATTCCATGCGCATGTCGTATTTCATTTGCGTTTTCTTTTTTAATAATATTAAAAATAATAAAATAATAATAATAGTTCATAATATTTCTTTAAAGCTCTTAATCTAAATATGTTTTGTTTGTGCAGGGATCCCGTCATGCTCAGATCAAAGAATGCCATATTGAAAAGTACAAAGATTACATCAAGGAAGGAGAAATATACGTATTGATTAATGTGTTGGTTCTGGAGAATTATCTTCCGTAAAGACTACTAAGCATCATTATATGTTGCAATTTATGACCAAAACTCACTACAAGAAGCATAATCTCTCAAGCTTTTATCGTCACATTTTTTTCACACGTGGACAATTACATTGCAGTTTCCAGAGTTACAGATCGTGAGGGTTTAAAAATACTAATATGTGATGAGAATGACAAACTAAAACGTTCAACAATGAATGTTGTTTATAAAGAAGTAATTCATAATTTGTAAATGTTTTAGCAACGACTTATGTACTCATTTTTCTTACAGTTTTTTGATGTAAAAAAATCATCTCATAACTATCAATTCAAAGTATAAACATATATTAATATAAACTATAGTGAGATAACTTAAAAAATTTAATTATTAATTTCCAAAGCAGATTTTTGGCCGTGCAACGCACGGGTATGATTCTAGTTTTAGCCTTTAAAGTGGAAGGGAGTAAATATTAGGGGTGAGCACAGATCGGGACGGTCCGAATTTTAAGTTGTTCCGCGTCTTGTCCCATTACATATAAACGGTCCGGATTACAATCTTATCCTGGTTTGTCCCATAAAATTCGGGATCGAAATAAATCGGGACGGATTTGGGTCGTCCTACTTTGACCTAATCCCAAATATAAGAAGGGGGGTACTCAATCCAAAAGTCACAAAATGTCATAAATAAAAGTCATTAACTCCCAAAGACATCCAAAAACTAGTTGTGTACACTAAGCAATTAGCCACTTGTCCACTGGAAATAGAAACTTCTTAAAAAAATAAAATTCTGTAAAGTAGTGTTTAACTAGACATTTTGGTCATTTCCCATGTGTATAGATATGAACAAAAATATTGAGTAGAACAAAAACCAAGTAGTGGAATTGGGTTGAAACTTGAAGTTAACAAAAATATTGAATTAGGTTAATAATGAGACGGAATTGGGCTCTGGAGTCTGGACTTTGGACCAAATAAATGTAATAAATTTTGGGTTGAAAGTTGAAGTTAACTTAATTAATTAAAAAATGAGTGTATTTGGATTTTGGACTAGAATTAGAATTATACGGAGTATATTAATAGAGTAGATAAAATGGGATAAACGGGACGGATCGGTATAAATTTGCGTGGTCCCGCTCATGTCCCATTTGATAACGGGACGGAACGGGTTTGGAATAAAAAAAAATTGTGTTCCAATTAATCGGTACAATTACAAAACCTGGTGAGGATTTTTTCAGGAAAGGTCCAATGGGAACACGCCCACGAGTAAATATTATATCGACATTCCCAAATCCGGTCGCGCGTAAATCACAATTAGCCGACTTCAAGCTTCCCAGTCGCATCGATTCAAGGTTTCAAGCCGATCGGCAATCAATTTTTCATCTTCCTCATTATCGCCTCTCTCAGTCGCGTCGCATCAGAGCATCGTAGAGTATCAGTCGCGTAGCCTCTATCTCTGTCTATCGGGTAAGATTTTATATTTTTAATTCTTTATCACTTAATCTCGTAATTTAGTTTAATTTTTTTAAATTTGGTTCATTAAACTATTTAATTAAAAAGAATATATCATGCTCTTTATTTTTAAATTTTATTCAGTTTTTTTTTTAATTTTTTTGCTGATTTCAATTAACTTTTTTTGCTAATTTCAGTTAACATTATATATATATATATATATATATATATATAATGTTAAAAATTTCAATACTAATTGTGATTTGTCGACTAGTTTAGGACTAGTAGGCCGACTAGTCTATTAGTCCACTAGTCTCCCCTTCACCGACTCGACTCGACTTGTCGACTTAATAACCATGATTTGAATTGCTTATTTGCTTTGCTCACCAATCCGGACCTAATAATCTCACGGTTCTGATAAAATAGATAGTCCATTTTATTCTTATTTCTCTCTTGAAAACTCTTTATTAACTGAAGCTCTCTCTATTCAACTAGACACACACACACAAAACACATACACACATGCATGTGCAGATGTTATAAAGTTCTTTGCTTATTTGCTATAATGTGTGTGCGTAGTTGAATAATAAGAATGGATGGGAATGCACAAAACATCAAAAAGTGGATTGTGGTATACCCCGTGTATATAAATTCGAAGAAGACGATCGCTGAGGGGAGGCGGATCAGCGTGAGCAAAGCTTGTGAAAACCCTACTTGTGCTGAGATTCACGATTGCTGTAGACACCTTAAACTCCTCAGCGCTATTGAGGTTTGCTTTATTTTTAAATTTTGTTTTCATTATTTCTTTAAATGCTTTTGTAAGTAGTTATTCGATGAGGTACCATAATAAAATATGAGAGGGCTTCACTACTATTATCATTGTTGATATTTGTTTTGCCCATCTGCATATCTTTTTATAGAGTTTGATGTGCATTGAAACACAACAACTAAGCCTTATCCCAAGTAAATTGGAGACAACTACATGCATTAAGAGGAGAATGATGTTTGGCCATTCTAAAAAATGTTCTCTTCATTTTTTTCTATTCATTACCACATATTTTCCAAATTCAGATATGACAAATTGCTCCTAATCACCTCCTTACATGCCCTTTATGGTTTCCTTCTTCCTCTTTTGAATGGAAGGAACCAAATATAGCCTAAACTGCATTGAGTTTTCTGCAAGTTATGCAATTTGAATGTTCATTACTTTTTTTTAAAATGAGAACAGTTAATACGATTATGAGATTCTGTTGTTTCTTTAGGCTTCATAGCTTTTAATGAGGCACATATTTACTTGAGTGAGAGCTTCTAAAATTTTGAAAATTTAAGCTAAGAACTTTATTTATTTCTCATTAGCCCATAGCGACCTTTCCTTCACTCCATCCTAAATCCTAAATCCACCCCTACTTTTAACATTTGATAGTTTCTTATTTGTTCAATAGCATAGTTATCACGGCGTCGCCTAGTCGTCGCCTAGGCGTCGCGGCGCCCTCTTGATCTCGCCTTGATGATTCGACTCGCCTTACTTTCAAGTCCTCGCCTAGGCGTCGCTTTTCCGACGACTTGGCGTCCAGGCGCAGCGCCTATGCCGACTTACGCCGTCGAATTCCAGATCTGAAAGGGGAAGAAGACCCTACGATCGCTAAATCCTTTCGGATCAGATGCGAGAGAGCCGAGAATTAAGATGCGACCCGACCCGACCCTTCAATTTTACGGAATTCCCAGCGACTACCGACTTGTATTCCCGACTTTGGACTTTTGACTTTTCAGATTCTAAGTACCCGGCCAGTAGCACTTCCTATTTTCCTTTAAAATTAACCCTATATGTATATTTGCTTTAATTAGAAGATGTCTTCTATTAGTGTTTTCATTTTTTATTTTCTATTTTTGAAAAAAACATATAATATAATATAATATAATATAATATAATATAATATAATATAATATAATATAATATAATATAATATAATATAATATAATATAATATAATATAATATAATATAATATAATATAATATAATATAATATAATATAATATAATATAATATAATATAATAATGTACACAAAGGAATATATATATATATATATATATATGTATATATATATATAATTTGTCGCCTAATTGTCGCCTAGGCGCTCGCCTAGGCGTCTAGGCGTCATGGCGATCCATTGGCGCCGCGCCTCGCCTTGGCGCCGTGATAACTATGTTCAATAGTGAGGAGATTATTGGTTATGAGCAATGATTATGTATATACATGTGATTGTCTTAACAGGCTGATAAGGCATATCCACGTGACTTTATGCAAAGAGGGAGAGTGCGAGTTTTGCTTAAAAAGGAAGATGGTACTCTGTTTAATCCATCCATTTCTTCTAGTAAGTATATGCCACTCTCCCTACTCACTTGAACTTGTTATGTAACTTGTGTCTATACGGCGAGTTCAAACATGTTTTTACCAGAAGCGCAAATTCATCAAATAAGGCTGCTTGATGCATATTGCATATTCATCATTGCAGTTACCATCTGTGGTTTCCGTGCCAGTACGATATGGACTTGCATCAAACACCACAAATACACCTTAGACAAAAATAACCAGGGATAAAATACTTGTATGATTGAGTATAGATAGCTTTTTGAGTGGAAAAGTTTATACGGACACATAGCAATGCTCCTATAGAGAGACTAGCTTCTACTCGGCATCCAAAAGATTATACTCCCTCCATCCAAGTTGAAACTTCCCGTTTTGACTTGGTGCGGTTTTTAATGTTAAGTGAAAAAACGATTGACTTTCCCATTTTGCCCCTCCCTAGACCCCACCCCACTCCTTCTCTTGCTTCTTCGTCAGTCACGCACATCTCCCTCCCATGTTTCCCTTTCTTTTTTCGTTCATTCTTTGTTCATCATCTCGACCCCCATTCCAAATCTAGATCTACCATATCAAGGAATTGTTTTTGAGTAGACAAAATCAAGAAGTTTAAGTTTCAAATCTACAAAATCAATCAAAAATAAAATCTTTGAAAAGATGAAGAGAAGAAACAGTGAAGAAGCCAAAAGTCGAGTCTACAGTTTTTTACTCACTACCGCCGCAGTCTCCGCCGCTCCTTTTCGCCACAACCTCCGCCGCCCCTCTCCGCCACAGCCGTCGTTGGCTCCTTTTCTGCAGTCTAGATCTGAAACCTTTGTCAGGGGAGGGGAGTCAGAAGAAGTAAAAAGAAACAAACGGCCAAAAAGAAGAAGAACAGAGGTGATGAAGAAAGAAAAAAGGTTTGGGATCTGATGAAGAAGAAGAAAAAAGAAAATTGAGGGGGGGGGGGGGGGG